CTCTCTCTTCTCTCTCTCTCTCTCTCTCTTCGCTCTCTATCTCTCTTCTCTCTCTCTCTCTCTCTTCTGTCTCTCTTTCTCTTTTCTCTCTCTATCTCTCTTCACTCTCTCTCTCTCTCTCTCTCTCTTACTCTCAAACTACATAATGCATGATTAATTGTTCCTTGACACGATATCAAGGAAATCTGAACTCAGTAAGGATTAATATCATTTTGTTTTAAAAATTTGACGCAATGTTTCAAATATTAATGTGCTTACATTTCCTCAAACTGACAGAAAGGTGTGACGGAAGTTCCTGCTGAAAGAAAGCGGGTGCATTAGGGGATTATTCATGGAGAAACTTTCTAACACGGATACGTAACGATGGACAAATGAATCAATCATTAACTAAAATGAATTTTCCCCAAATACTTTTACGCGAGGTCTTAACATATTGTTTAATTTTATTTCAATAATTCGCTTGCGCGTAGGGGTCTTTAGCAGTGGGAGGAAATCGGAGGACCCGGAGAAAACCCACGAGGCTGGACAGGCGACCCCACTCCTTGTCACGTACAACCGGGGATTCGAAACCACGCCAGTTGACTCAATGACAGGCTTTATTATACAGCGCGCACGTGCTAACCATTCGTCCATCCAACCTCCCAAGTATTATAGCAGTCAAAGCGTAAACCGCGAGCACAGGCACTTGAAGGGATTAAAATAAAACTCCTTACTACTGCTTGACTTGAAGGGATTAAAATAAAACTCCTTACTACTGCTTGACTTGAAGGGATTAAAGTGTATAATAATATATAGTCAAGCAGTAGTAAGAAGTTTTATTTTAATCCCTTTAAGTCAAGCAGTAGTAAGAAGTTTTATTTTAATCCCTTTAAGTCAAGCAGTAGTAAGAAGTTTTATTTTAATACCGTGTGCTATGAATAACATTTTGCCCGGAGAGCGGCTTGACGGTCTACTCTTATATCGATTTCAAACTGCCAATGGTTCTTTTACGTGCACGGTTTTTCGTCACACCCGAACGACTATACGTTGTTCCTTAGCCAGGCCCTACGTCCTGCATCACTGACAAGGGGCCGTAATCCATGCAGTTGCGATCCGATGCATGCCAATATCGGAATGAACCGAGATCTTCGGAATATAAACCTATATTTCAAGTTTCGTCAAAATCGGATAAAATTTTTTGTCCATAAACAAAATGTGAACGGACACATGGACGGACACACGGACAGACAGGGGCGACGGCATAATACGTCCACATCACAATCTGGGCGTATAAAAGGTACTGGCCTTTTTTTTCAAAGAACGTCGGTCAAACAACAGGAAGATAGAGATAGAGAGAGAGAGAGAGAGAAAGAGAGAGAGAGAGAGAGAGAGAGAGAAAATGGGGTTTAAGTCCACTCAACACAAACTAGGTCATTTCGGAACTAGCACATGGTTCAATTTTATTTCTATAATTTGCTTGCGCGTAGGGGTCTTTAGCAGTGGGAGGAAACCGGAGGACCCGGAGAAAACCCACGAGGAACAGGACGATAACCAAGCGTCAATACATATACGACTACGATATCACCCTTGGTGGAAGTGAACGTAAATCTCCAGGAACGAACGAAAGAACGCGTCAGTACAATTCATTATGATGAATGATTTGGGGTTTTTAAAAACCATTGAGAATTACACTCCCTGTTTATTTGCACTAAATGTTGTTATATACACAAAGAGTAAATGAACCCGATTGAACTTTAAAATATAAGTTTATGTTGGTATAACCTAAATTTTAACCACGATTCAATAACATTAAATAAATGGAGTGACGGGAAAAATAGAATTATTTAATCCCCCTTATTATTATTGGCATGGACCTCATGGAGAGAGAGAGAGAGAGAGAGAGAGAGAGAGGTCAGCATAGCTCCATGTCTTGTCACTGAAGAAAAGGGCTTAGCTGTTAATCTAATTATACATTTATAAGTGTTACTAGATGTTCATTATACAATGATATTAACACAATTGTTTAAAGCACGTGTATATATAATATGATTTTTACCACCTGCTTAGTCTATTGTTACCAACGAGAGAGAGAGAGAGAGAGAGTCTATTGTATTGTCAGAACTGTAAACACGGCCTTAGCCTGGTTACATGCTGTTCAGTAATGAACATAATATGAATCGTGGTTACTTATCTATGAACATGACCTTAATCTAGTTTCAGGTTGTTCAGCACACATGTGGCCTTAGTCTAGTGTCAAGGTTTTTAGTACACATGTACGTAATGATGCTTTTATGGTTACGTTTTCATTATCCCAGTAGGCATTGACCTACAATAGTATAGTATGTATTACCTCTCTCTCTCTCTCTCTCTCTCTCTCTCCCTCTCTCTCTCTCTCACTCACAGGCATTAACCTACAATAGTATAGTATGTATTACTCTCTCTCTCTCTCTCTCTCTCTCTCTCTCTCTCACAGGCATAACCTACAGTATGTATTACTCTCTCTCTCTCTCTCTCTTTGGGGGGTTGGGTGGCTGAATGGTTAGCACGTGCGTGCTGTATCATAAAGTCTCTCATTGAGTCAATTGGCGTGGTTTCGAATCCCCGGTTGTACGTGGCAAGGAGTAGGGTCGCCCGTCCAACCTCGTGGGTTTTCTCCGGGTCCTCCTGTTTCCTCTAACTGCTAAAGACCCCTACGCGCAAGCGAATTATGGAAATAAAATTGAACCATATGTTAGTCCCGAAATGACCTAGTTTGTGTCGAGTGGACGTTAGATCCCATCTCTCTCTCTCCCTCTCTCTCTCTCTCTCATATCCTAGTGCGCGCTGTATCATAAGGCTTGTCATTGAGTCAACAGGCGTGGTTTCTAATTCCCGGTTGTACGTGACAAGGAGTAGGGTCGCCTGTCCAACCTCGTGGGTTTTCTCCGGGTCCTCCGGTTTCCTCCCACTACTAAAGACCCCTACGCGCAAGCGAATTATGAAAATAAAATTGAACCATATGTTAGTTCCGGAATGACCTAGTTTGTGTCGAGTGGACGTTAAACCCCATTTCTCTCTCTCTCTCTAATTCTAGTGTGAACACGGCCTTAGTCTAGTCTCAGGTTGTTCAGTACATATGTATATAATGCTTTCGTATTTACCTATCATATACATGTATATATATCCTTCCTGGTATAATACACGCTGTTATCTATAGATCTACATGTATCATATATACATTGAATGACGGCTTTTCATATTTGTTATGTTTATTCAACCACTCCTACAGCCATTCAATAATGTAGATCTACAATGCATGTTTGTTTTTTTATATGTATATAAAAAGAAAAAAAATAAGGAAGATAAGCATTAATGGGGGCTCTCCTACACAGGGTCAAAATCCTTTTCTTTTCTTTTTTGGCAATCAGGTGAATGAAATAGGGTTTAACGCCCTACTTTTCTTTTGCGTCCAGGCTAATAAAGACGGGCATGCGTCATACAGCGTGCTATGGGAGAAATTTTGCACGGACAGTGACGCTACGTCCTACTTTTATTTCGAATTTCAAATGTCAAAAGTTCCTTAGCGAACGATTAGACATGGTTCCTTGCATCCCTGACGAGGGGACAGCAGACTGGAAAATCCTGGGGAACCTTCTCGGCGAATACTTTGATCAAACATGGGACCCCTGATTAGCGACCCAGCACCTTCCTCACCAAGCCACTAGGACCTCCTTGTTAGAGGGCCACTAGGACCTCCTTGTTAGCGAGCCACTAGGACCTCCTTGTTACCGGGCCACTGTAGCCTCCTTGTTAGCGAGCCACTATAGCCTCCTTGTTAGCGAGCCACTACAGCCCCCTTGTTAGCGAGTCACTACAGCCCCCTTGTTAGCGAGCCACTATAGCCTCCTTGTTAGCGGGCCACTAGGACCTCCTTGTTAGCGAGCCACTAGGACCTCCTTGTTAGCGAGCCACTAGGACCTCCTTGTTACCGGGCCACTATAGCCTCCTTGTTAGCGAGCCACTATAGCCTCCTTGTTAGCGAGCCACTATAGCCCCCTTGTTAGCGAGCCACTATAGCCTCCTTGTTAGCGAGCCACTATAGCCTCCTTGTTAGCGAGCCACTACAGCCCCCTTGTTAGCGAGCCACTAAAGCCTCCTTGTTAGCGAGCCACTATAGCCCCCTTGTTAGCGAGTCACTACAGCCTCCTTGTTAGCGAGTCACTATAGCCTCCTTGTTAGCGAGCCAAGACAGCCTCTTTGTTAGCGAGCCACTATAGCCTCCTTGTTAGCGAACCACAACAGCCTCCTTGTTCGCGAGACAATACAGCCTCCTTGTTAGCGAGCAAAGACAGCCTCCTTGTTAGCGAGCCACTATAGCATCCTTGTTAGCGAGTCACTATAGCCTCCTTGTTAGCGAGTCACTATAGCCTCCTTGTTAGCGAGCCAAGACAGCCTCTTTGTTAGCGAGCCACTACAGCCTCCTTGTTAGCGAACCACAGCAGCCTCCTTGTTAGCGAGTCACTACAGCCTCCTTGTTAGCGAACCACAGCAGCCTCCTTGTTAGCGAGTCACTATAGCCTCCTTGTTAGCGAGCCACTATAGCCTCCTTGTTAGCGAGCCACTATAGCCTCCTTGTTAGCGAGTCACTATAGCCTCCTTGTTAGCGAGCCACTATAGCCTCCTTGTTAGCGAGCCAAGACAGCCTCTTTGTTAGCGAGCCACTATAGCCTCCTTGTTAGCGAACCACAGCAGCCTCCTTGTTAGCGAGTCACTACAGCCTCCTTGTTAGCGAGCCACCACAACCTCCTTGTTAGCGGGCCAGTTCCTCGTAGATCAAGCCACCGTGACTCGCTATTCAGAAATAAGACAGAGAGAAATGGAGATTAACGTCCACTCGACTAAAACTAGAACATTTTGGGACTAACATATGGTTTAATTTTATTTCAAAAATTCGCTTACGCGTATGGGTCATCAACAGTACGAGTAAATCGGGGAACCCGGAGGAAACCCAGGAGGTTGGACAAGAAATAAGACAAGCCTGGTGTATATATAAGTTTTAATTTTAAATAATACTTAATATAATAATATTAAAGTTTATGTGGCAAAATATTGAAAGCAATATGAAAACATTGATAACCCACGGAGCTGTTAACAGACAGTAAGACATTCTAGTATGGAAGACCAAATGAGACAATATTATTGATTATTGTTTCTACATTCCAGTTTGAACATTTTATATAAGAAAGCCATATTTCAAACTAATGATAGAGAGAGAGAGAGAGTGAGCGATGGGGGGGGGGGGGTAACGTCCACTCGACACAAACTAGGACATTTGGGGACTAACACATGGTTTAATTTTATTTCAATAATTCGCTTGCGCGTAGGGGTCTTTAGCAGTGGGAGGAAACCGGAGGACCCGGAGAAAACCCACGAGGATGGACAGGCGACCCTACTCCTTGTCACGTACAACCGGGGAATTGAAACCCCGCCAGTTGGCTCAATGACAGACCTTATGATACAGCACATACTAATGATTGTAGTTTTTACATTCTAATGTCAACATTTCGAGCACAAAATCAACGTTCTAAACTGATTGTATTCTTCGATTTCGGCGTAGGAACAATCATCATTAATTTTGTTCTATATGGTCTTCCATAGTCAAGAGGCATTATCGCTCAGTGAATATTTATTCGACGGGTGGTCAAAAAACAATTTTTGTTTCTGATTAGAAATAGAATTTACAGTTTCACCGGGAATGTTTATATTGTATGCTGAATTTTAGATAAAACTACTAACGTATTAAAATTTCATGATTTTTAAGGAGTTTCCTTATATTCCTGACAACTGGGGTCGTCTATGGTTATTTTGTAGGAGATATACAAAATGAAATACATTTTCTCTTCTTGGCGAGTTTGATAATGCCTCTATAAATAGGTTACATACATGTATGTAACAATCTAGTTAAAATACAGATCTGACCAGTTGTAGTAAAAGGTCGCGTCAGAGGTCGTACGAATGGCTTTTGACCCTATGACGTCATACATTCATTAATCAATCAATCAATCGGCGTTGACGTTTCTAGTAGTTTACCCACAGTTCTGTGCATCGCACGTCAAGAAGTCGCCGTAATAGATAGTCTCATTGGCTAATCCCTCACGCCATCCCGAACACAGGTTATATAACAACTATTCAAGTTTCTAGTGTAGTACAGACAAATAAAACGAAATTTTGACCTATAAAAAAACGAAACGAAATAGGATCTTTGTTTTAATCAGATTGATACATACAGTATTGGGGCACCTAGACCCTGTAGATTTTTATACATAAAATCACCACATTCATTGTTATAATCAGTTCATTTGCATATAAAGATTTCATATCAATGAGCTCATCCCAGGCGAAATGATACCCACGCCCACTTAACGACAACGTGACGTTGCATCTTTCTTAGACAATCTCCATTTTTGTACGCGATTTGGCAAAACTTCTCACAGATATTGACGATGGCTTTTTTTTTATATATATATAGAAAGTTTAAATTTTTAATCGAAAGAAAAGTTATATTTTTATTTAAACATGAACTTCAATTGTCTGAGAAAATGGTGCCACTTTGACGAAGTTGGGGATTGGTCCATTTGAGTTGCATTGTTATATAGCCTACTAAACCGTCCTCATTACGCGCACGCCAATCTTATGTATACTTTTTGAATTAATGAATAAATATCCATGGCTTTAACGTCCATATTTTCCCAACCGATCGGGCGATTGAAGACGGGGCGTATCCATCCTAGAACGATGCCCAAGAAAATGTCTTTATCATTTTAATAATACAAATGAACTGATCAGGGATATATCTTTTATTCCGACGAATGTAAACATCCTGGAGCAGTTGTTCCGAACCTTTTTGCATTGGCGGACCCCTTGGGCCATTTTACCCTCCCCCACCTGTTTATCCAGACTTCCATTTAACTGATGTAGTACGTAGGGCACGTGCCTCCCCTTGTTATAAATAAATTCTTAATAAACGCTAATGTAGCCTCAATACCTAGTAATGTGACAGGTCTGTCATTGAGTCAAGTGGCGTGGTTTCAATTCCACGCTTGTACGTGACAAAGAGTTGGGTCGCCTTTCCTAAGGGATTCAGAGACCCCTGGTTGGGAAACAATGCTCTAGAGGGCGTTGGTAACAATAGCCGAAGCAGACGGTAAGAAGCATATTATATAAACACGTGCTTTAAACAATTGTGGTAATATCGTTGTATAATGAACACCTAGTAACACTTATATGTACAATATTAGAAAAACAACAAATGCAAAGAAACACAATATCATAATCATCTGCCCTAAGCCCTTTTCTGCAGTGACTGGACGTGGAGCTATGCTGAATATCTGACATCTGAAGCCCTATTCATAAAATTTTAAAGAAAAATATTTTAAGAACACTGATGGTTTACTGACCGAAGACACAATTTTAGCCCAATGAAAGGGCGTAATTCTTAAAATATTTTAGTTTAAAATGAGTCGGTAGCGTTTTTCAAACTTTGGTACATCTCGAGGGAAGTTCTATAACAATTGTTAAATAAAATAACATTTATCATTCGTGCGATGTTCGTATGGATATCCATTATTCAGAATTTAATATCAACGATTTTTTTTATCAATAATCTCCGGATCATCGGCATTTAATGAGCAAATATTATTGGTTAATTTTTGGTCGATATCTGTAAAGTTATCGATTTATATTTTCCTATACTAAAAAATATTAGTTTAACCTAAAATATTATCCATTTTAACTTAAAATATTATCTATTTTAACTTAAAATATTATCCATTTTAACTTAAAATATTATCCATTTTAACCTAAAATACATGTATTATCCATTTTAACCTAAAATACATGTATTATCCATTTTAAGCTAAAATACATGTATTATCCATTTTAACCTAAAATATTTCAATTCAAAGTAAAGTGGTCCATTTTAAAGCAGACTATTTCAATTTTAACTAAAATATTTCAATTTTAACTAAAATATTTCAATTTTAACTAAAATATTTCTTTCAATTTTAACTAAAATATTTCAATTTTAACTAAAATATTTCAATTTTAAACTAAAATATTTCAATTTAAACTAAAATATTTATTTGGACATCTAATTTCCATCGGCTATTATTCTAGATATATTTAATTTGACGCGTATACAATCTCCCTGATAATGTCTGTCTACTACATCGTTAACACTGTTCATCACGTGCATTTTGCATACCGATAGTCCATTGGCCAATCACGCTATTTTATCGAGATTTTGCTTAATAGTTTGGATGCAGCTATGGCGGGTGTGGCGCCAGGCAGGGTAAGCTTACTCTTCCGGACACCTGTTACCACTGTTTGTCGTGTATTTTTTACACGGTGAACAGTCCATATGCTCATAACACTATTTTGCCTTATTACACTATTTTGCCTATACCGTTTTTTAGGACTTCGAATTTTGTCTAATGGTTTGGATTGTTCGTACTTGGTTTTATTTTATTCCATATCTCAAACTCAGATACAAGAATTTTATCTCAATTGATCTCCTTAAATATAATATAACATGTCCTTTTATCTTGATGCCGATCTCCTGTGTCAATTGAAATATTCATACCTGTATGACGTCATACAGATAAACAGTGCTAATCAGTCTATTTGGAATCAGAATCATTAATCTGTTCAGCTCTGATGATTTTATTAATGATGAAAATATTGAAATAATTAAACACATTCATTAAACGTAGCCCGTTGATCAATATATAGGTATGTCACACAATATGTAATTACCATTCATGATTGATTTAATTTCATCTTCTTTTTATAAAAATATTCAACTTCAACGTATTACATTTAAACATATATAATTCTGTTTTTTTTTTTTATAAATTCTCAACTTCAACATATTACGTTTAAAGTAGCTAAGTCTCTAACTCAATATCACCCAAAATCTTCAACATTGAAAACATGAATTATTTGTCAATTTAAATCAATACTGATGTTGTGATCTTACCGGGAAAAGGTGCCCTTCTGATATCCAATATTTAAGACAAAATAAACATTTTACAATTGGTACACGAATCGTGTACCATAATGCGTTTCAGAGCTGTGTGTAATAAAGGGACTCGGAAAACGAGGCTAGGCATTATTCCACAAGTCATGTCAAACGGTGACGCTAGGATCTTTATCTGGAGAGCATGCCCAATAAATACTATCGGCGTAGACTGGAATAACCAGAAGCTACAGATTGAAATTCGATTGAGAATACTGGCGTATGTCGCCGAACCTAACTGATTAGAAATTACAGTAAAAACAGAAACGATTGAATGTAAATCAATTTATATACATTCAAATTACATTATTGCATGCGTTGCGACCCATTTGTGTCAATTTCTAGGTCCCAAATATTAGCAACTAAGCTCCTTTAAACTTAACATAATTCTGTATTTTATATAAACTTGACTTTAACTAATTAAACGTATAGATATTACGTTTAAACATGTATAATTCTATATTTTATATATACTTGATTTTAACATATTAATCGTATGATTATTACGTTTAAACGTGTATAATTCTGTATTCTATATATATCATTACTTCTTTTAAACATGTATAATTCTGTATTGTAAAGATACATGCATATTCTTGCTATTAACTTTTGAAATGTATGATTCTGTATAGATGAGAGGAATTAATTAATGTAGGTATAGCGGATTTTTGTTCAATCGTGTTCTGTTTTGAATGAAACAATAAATTACGAATTAATCTCTGAATAATATAATAGAATTAGTTACTGGAACAGCCGAAACCTGGTACAACGTTCACCATTTTATTGGTACGGTACAATCGATACCGTGGTACAAAGATCACCAAGTTATTGGTATGGTACAATCGAAACCGCGGTACAAAGATCATCATTTTATTGGTACGGTACAATCGATACCGTGGTACAAAGATCACCATGTTATTGGTACGGTACAAAGATCACCAGCATGATATTCAGGACTATCAGGTCTTCGGATAGTGATTTTGGCTGTACCTGACAAGATGTCCGACATTGTTCAAAGTTGTATCTGCCATTTGTAACACTGTGCCGGAAATTCATTAAAAATGTCAACACAAACACACAAAAAAAGATGTCGAATTGGGAACACATCCAAAGGTATAGAAACCATGGCAACGCCCCAAACTTTTGCACACATTAATGCAATATGGAAATATCTGACGGTGTATAGCATTAAGTCTTTTAATTTTTTTTTTACCCAATGTTGTTTTTTTTTAAAAAAAAAAAGAAAAAAAAAAGGGTGGTTCATTCAAGTCAATTATTCATGAGCTGTTTCACGGATTTAAAACAAGCCAGGGACTATCCTGTGTGGAACCTTTTTACAATATTCCAACCAATAATCGCCATATTTGTTTCCACACTTTTCATCATCTCTGTAACTTCTGTGGATCAGTAATATAACTAGAAAAATAACGTAGGAGTAGGGCATTATGTTGTTAAACAGCGCAGGAACTGTCCAGAAGAACGCCAACATTATTTCCGGTATGTAATGAAAATGGCGGGAAAGTCCCCACCAACCGGAAGCCAACAAGATACTTTCCTTGACGTCGCCATTTTCTAATTGGTAGGTGGCGCGAATTATCGTCGGTTTCCTGCCCCAGACGAGGCACTCTCCATTTGCATAACGAACTTCCTGTTTTTGTAGATCGGCTTTGTAGTTGATAACGATACTGAGTATCCCCATGGTTAGAAAGATCGTGGTTAAAACGGGACCCAGGTGAACGGGTTGGGTGACATTATACAGACTAACAGACGTATAGAGTCCAGGGATATAAACCAAACACCCCCAGCAGATGTAAAACCCAGCCCGGTCCAACATAATATCAATTGTTCTCAAATAACCCGATTCCCACCAAAAGAACTTAGTAATGTATATCAACTGCAGAACAGCACAGACAAACATACTGTCCACAAAACCATACAGTTCGTAGCTCTTTAGAGCAAATATAGACACAAGTAACGCCCACACCATCATTCCGAATCGACAATTTGTAAATGTCTTAATATCAAAACCAAATACGCGTGGATACAGTTCAGTGCCCCAGTAATAATCAAAGATTAGGTTACCACTGGAGCCACTATCACTGGATGACGGAGCAAAAAGTCCTTTAAAATACAAGAACCAACAAAAGACGAAGCTGAAGATGCTTAAGGTGTTGAGGACCTCGTCATATCTGTCGTAAACAATTGTTGGCGTTAATCCAAATTGTTTTAATACTACAGTCAGGAACACGAACAGTATCATAGTCACCACAAAGAACAGGAAGCCATTGTCCTTATAAACTGGGGTATTTCCCTTAGGCGTTAGTGGTCCTGTCACCATCTTTCCAGGTAAAAGCTTCATCATAGCTAATGCATAAATGCAGTATCCGATCAAAATACCAGAGATCGTCCAGCTTCCTAAACTAGTCTGGTTCCAAATAACGTTGAGTCCTTCAAAAACGGACCGTCCAGAAAACACACTAATGAATTTTGAGTAGCTTCCGTCGCATCTAAAGGCTGTGTACCAGAGAAATGTCATCAGATTGGGGACAAAGAGCATCAAGAATACCGGAACAAGAGTGTTGTGGAAGAATCGTCGCAAGAATTGGTTGTATTTGCTCTGGGATAGTTTCTCATAGTTCTCCTTGTATTCGTTGAGTCCATTAGACAGCATGTCGAGGTCTCCGTTCTCAGCGTGAGTTTTTTTGCTAGAGTTCGTTTTCCTGTTTACGGCGTCAGCGCCGTTGTTATGAGATCGTGTCGTGACCTGTAATGAGACAAACTGAATTTAGATCGGAAAGTTTCATGAAGAACGGGCATACGCCATGCAATGAGTTATGATGAAAATATTGCTATACAGCCTACTCTTATATCGAACTCCATGTGTCAAGGGTTATTTTACGTGCAGGCTAAAGTGTACTTAGGGCGTCGGGTTTTTTTTTTGTTTTTGTCCCATTCGAACCACTAGACGCTTTGCCATATCCCCCCGTACTGACAAAGGAGAATCAAAGCTGGAAAAATCCCTCTTTCGGTCAAGACCGGGATCGGACACACCCCCACCCCCTTTTATTTCAATAATTCACTTGAGCGTAGAGGGTTTTAGCAGTGGGAGGAAACCGGAGAAAACCCACGCGGTTGGACAGGCGACCTTACTCCTTGTCACGTAGAACCGGGGAATCGAAAGCTGAGAATATAGAAAACAAGCTTACCATATTGCCTGCCGACGAGTCGTTCAGTTTGGTGTTGACTAACAGCTGCTAGTGAAGCGATTTAATCCTGTAATTATAAGAAGAATATTAATATAGATTATATAAGCCATGGTGTGAATATAATCCACACTGATTAGAGCTGTAATTATACAGACAGAGATAACACTGGTCTTCCGATCAAAACACGCAGATAACAGTGTGATGTTTTATAACTGGTGATATAGGTGATGAGTAAGATAATTAATGATGTATATCTATACTGTGACATATCGGATGATATATCACATCTTGTAACTGATTAAATGATCAATACTATCAATTTCAACTTTTATCTTTTAAAGTTGTTCACTAAGCGGGTGGGGAGCCACGGTGGCTCAGTTTGTAATCGGCTGGCTCGCTAACAGGAGGCCCTGTGTTCGAATCGGGGTTTTCCAGTGTGTTTCCATTGTCGGTGGTGCAGGGCGGACTTTTATCTTTTAAACTTGTTCACTAATTGAGAGAGGAACCACGGTGGCTCAGTTTGTAATCGGCTGGCTCGCTAACAGGAGGCCCTGTGTTCGAATCGAGTAATTTCCAGTGTGTCTCCATTTGATGGTGGTGCAGGGCGGACGGCTTTACGAGGAATAACGTCTAGTCCTTCGGATGGGACAAGAAACCGAGGTACTAATATGGCCTATTCATACGTTAGTGTGTACGTATAAACAAATGTTTGATAGTCGGATTTTTTCTGAAGAGTAAGCGCCAACAACGCTCTCTGGGCAAAATGTACTTCATGTACATGTATTATATACCCACTGTATGACGTATGTCGGCCTTCATCATCCCAGTTAGTGCAGAAAAGTAGAATGTTAAACGCATTTCACTTTTTTCCTTTCCCCATGTCATCGTAACTTGGCTTTTCCCACAATAACAATGGTCTTCAACGCTTATAGAAATTAGAATAGGATTTTTGAACAGAAAAAGAAAACTGGGGAAAAAATCTCCAAAACGCTTTGAACCAATAAAGATTGTCCCTGCCCAAGACAAAGGCGACTAGTCGTTCGGATGGGACGAAAATCGTTGACAAACTCTTGATAGTCGGAATATTGCCGAGGAGTAAGCGGACATACTGCTGCCATGACAAAATGTCACCTACAGCACAATGCATGGTGTATTCTCATCGTCACTAGTCGGGCTGCTGCAGAAAAACAGATTTGATTTTTCCTTTCAGCCAGAATACAATAACAAAGGGTTACACAACACTATGCGAAATGTGAAGCACAGACAAAGAAAAACTGAGAAACAAAAAAAATCTGTTTAACTTCGAAAACGCTTGCAAAAGCAGACAACTCTCAGTCCAATATACAACACAATTTACAAAGAAATATATAAACATTTGTAAATATTCCATATAATTTCAGAAAAAAAAACCAAAACCGATTATTACAAGAAAATTCTCCTACCAGTTATGTAGAACTGTTCCAGAAAGCCCGACAGTGAAGTGAACCAATAAGATAAATTGGATGCCATAGCTAAAGGCCATAGAATCCTGTTTCTAATCAATAAAGTTATCCCACTCCATCACACAAAATTACAAAGCTATCGTTTTTCTCAGCCAGTCAACCTAATGGACATAAATGTCTGGTGAAATAAAATGAGGTTTAACGCCCTACTTTTCTGCACCATTTCGACTAATAAAGAATGGTATGCAGTGTGCTATGACCATGAGGAGAATTTTGCCTGGGCAGCCACGTTTCTGCATACCCTTAATCCAAGGGTTCTTTTACGTGCACTCCAATGTGTACATGTTACCTCGGTTTTCCGTGCTATCCGAATGTTCATTGTCAGTCCAAATAGGCTGGAAGATCCCGAGATAGTGTTTCGGCCAACACCGAGATCGAATCCAGAACGTCCTGGCCAGTGTGGTAGCTCCTCGCACTAACAAACCGTATCCCCCTTTAGCCATATGTTGATAAAAATAAAGGAGTAAAACGTGTAGGAAAGTTGAGCAGCAAATCGGATCTTAATCCAGTAAATATCGCAGGCTAGCGATGACATCGAGAGTTGATTATGTTCTGGATAAGTTAATTAATGTCTAATTAATAATTTAGATTTTAAACATTTCAGGCTTAAAGAAAGACCTGCAATAGGCAGATTTAGCTCTTGCATAATGTATGTTTAATATGATTAATACAATGACGTCATTATTAATGTGACGTCATAATGTATGTTTAAGTCTGAGAATACTTTGTGAACTCAGTGCCTGGGACCTGTTTCTCGAAATCTTAACTAAAGATAAAATCCAAATTTTAGTAGATACTTTAATTTTGATTGGCTAAGCACCAAAATCAATCTAATATTATCCAATCAAATTACTAAAATCTGGACTCTATCTTAGTTAAAATTTCGTGAAACAGGCCCCGGTGTGTGTGTGTGTGTATATATATATCACGATGCAGTAATCAGATACAACACTATAAACATTCTTAATGAAACCGCAGCTCCACGTTCTTAATGGCATTTATATCCCCTTCTTTATTACCCTTTTATCCTTATGTTAATTATGATATTTATGTCTACATCAACTAACAATACCACCACTATGCCTCCACTATCTCCGTATCCATTTTCATGATATCTTTTCACTTGTCATGTGGGTAATAGTATCTCGGATATTAAAATGTCACTTCGTCCACGACAGATATTATTTCTGGATAATGCAGTTTTTTATTTGCTATAAAAACTTGAAATGGGGTTAAACGTCCTACTTTTCCGTACCTACTGGACTAAAGAAGAAATGAAATGGGGTTTAACGTCCTACTGTTCTGCTGCTCTGCTCCAACTGGGCTAATAAAGAAGGGCATACGCCATGCAGTGTGTCATGAGGGAAAATTTGCCCGGAGAACGGCGCTATGACATACTCTTATATCGAATTACAACTGCCAAGGGATCTTTTACGTACACACCAATGTATAAACGGGAGCTCGGTTTTTCGTCCCATCCGAACGTCTAGACAGCTGTCCCTGTTCAACCTCGTTGGTTTTCTCTGGGTCCTCCGGTTTCCTCCCACTGCTAAAGACCCGTACGCACAAGCGAAGTAAAGAAATAAAATTAAACCATATGTTAGTCCCGAAATGACCCCTCTCTCACTCTATCTATCTCAAATATTCATAACTTAAAGCGCTAGTCCATCAAGGCAAGAAAAGTATCCACTGTCAAGAATTGCAACGAGCCAACGTTCCTACCGTCTCTCTGGAACGGGTGGTCCACTGGGCCTTTTAGTTATGAAGCTTAAATTTCTTCCATCTGTGAAATATGCTGGTGTTCTTTCAGTTTAAATATCTTTGTATTCCATGGAACGGTTAGCGAGTATTGCAGTGTTATATTTCGGCCAGTTTTATATGGGCCACCCGATATGCATACGTATTTGATGACAAGGACTGCAGGTCTAGTCGTTCGGATGATACGAAAAACCGAGGTCCCGTGTATACATTGGAATGCACGTAAAAGATTCCTTGGCAGTTGGAATTCGATATAAGAGTAGACGATAGTGCCGCTGCCCGGGCAAAATTTCCCTCATAGCACACTGTATGGCGTATGTCCGTCTTCATTAGCCCAGTTCGGAGCAAAACAGTAGGACGTTAAAAAAAACCCCAACATTTTATTACATTTCATTTGATTTGTTTAATACTTGAGGGTATTTCACACTCTTTCTGACGAAATTTCAACCATATTGACGATAATATATCTGTCTGAGACCATGCCGAAGGCCAAGGTTAGCGCATTCACACAACATGGTGCACCCAACAACCCCGAGAAGCGATCGATTAAGAAAAATCGAAATGGGTCTGTTTTTACAATTTCTCGTGTTAAAATGTTCGACTATTTGCCCACAGCGCTTTGTAATCAATATAAATTATACTAACATTTAGTTTACTAATGTCATTCATTAAATATTCATACCGACACCTATAAATATCTTAAATGTCGAGTATGGAAACAAGATTGTATGGGGTTTTATTAACGTCCTATATTTCTGCACCAACCGGGCTAATGAAGACGGGCATACGCCGTGTATAGAGTGCTAAGAGGGACTTATCCCCATACCAGAGGGAACATGATGTTAATCTTATCCCCATACTCCTGGGAATATGATCTCAATCTTATCACGATAACCCTGGGAATATGATCTTAATCTTATCCCCATACCAGAGGGAACATGATCTTAATCTTATCACGATACTCCTGGGAATATGATCTCAATCTTATCACGATAACCCTGGGAATATGATCTTAATCTTATCCCCATACCAGAGGGAACATGATCTTAATCTTATCACGATACTCCTGGGAATATGATCTCAATCTTATCACGATAACCCTGGGAATATGATCTTAATCTTATCCCCATACCAGAGGGAACATGATCTTAATCTTATCACGATACTCCTGGGAATATGATCTCAATCTTATCACGATAACCCTGGGAATATGATCTTAATCTTATCCCCATACTCGAGGGAACATGATCTTAATCTTATCACGATACTCCTGGGAATATGATCTCAATCTTATCACGATAACCCTGGGAACATGATCTTAATCTTATTCCCATGACCACGGGAACATGATCTTAATCTTATCCCCATACTCCTAGAAACATGATCTTAATTTATCCCCATATTCCTGGGAACATGATCTTAATCTTATCACGATACCCCTGGGAACATGATCTTAATCTTATTCCCATACCCGTGGGAACATGATCTTAAACTTATCACCATACTCCCGGGCACATGATCTTAATCTTATCCCCATACTCCTGGGAACACGGTCTTGGTCTTATCCCCATACTCCCGGGAACATGATCTTAATCTTATCCCCATACTCCCGGGCACATCATCTTAATCTTATCCCCATACTCCCGGGAACATGATCTTAATCTTATCACGATACCCATAGGAACATGATCTCAATCTTATCACAATACCCCTGGGAACATGATCTTAATCTTATCCCCATACTCCTAGAAACATGATCTTAATCTTATCACCACACTCCCGGGCACATGATCTTAATCGTATCCCC